AGTTTTGTGCATTGTGTGTGTGTGTGTGTGTGTGTGTGAGAGAGAGAGAGAGAGAGAGAGGGGGGGGGTCACATCACTGTGGAGTCAGCTGTCTTAACCGTGGCTTGTGTACTGCACACATACCAGCTTCATCACTGTGTCTATCACGCGTTACGTTCCCCTTTCGGGCTCTGTCTTTACATTTATCTGGAAAGATGAATCTCGCGATTATGGTAAGGGGCGTTACATTTCCGACGAGTGCTTGCGGTGTTCGGCCAATCACAATGCACTGGGTCAGCTGGCCAATCAGAGCAGACTGCGCTTGTCGGAAGGAGGGGCTTTGTAGAAAACTAAGCGTTTGAGAGAGGCGGGGCATAGAGGACCTACAATAATGTACAGTATTTGAAAAATAATGTGTTTTTTGAACATTAAAGCATGTCAACATATTCTGTTACACCAAATACACAAAATAATGATCTTTAAAAAAGCATCATATGACCCCTTTAAAGAACCATTTCCATCTGATTTCAGCCAAAAAAAAACAACGTTGTTGTTGTTGTTGTTGTTGTTCTAAACCTGTATGAATTTTAGCTGTTGAACACAAAAGACCTAAAGGTTGACGGTAGCCATTGACTTCAATTGACTGGAAAGAAAAATATTATGGAAGTCAATGGCTAGCAACTGTTTGGTTACCAACATTTGTTAAAATATATATATTTTTTGTGTTAAACAGAAGAAAGAAACTCATACATGTTTGGAACAACTTGATGGTGAGTAAATGATGCCAATTTTAATTTTTGGGTGAACTGTCCCTTTGATGAACTTAGGTTGATTCAGCAATATTAAAATTTCCGAGTTAAAACCAATTAATTTAGATTAATTTACCATTTTTTGATGCCTGTATTAAAAGGGAATAGATTCAGATAGCTCACACAGATTCATAATGTTGCCCAGTCAGGAAAGTTGGTCACATTAAGACAATATTAAAGATAGGATATACCTCTTTCTCTCCAGCTCGTGGAGTCGTGAGGCACGGGTCAGCACGAAGGATATGTCTCCTCATCTCTTATCCCCAGAAGCTAGAGGATATCTCACGACGTGATCAGAAAAAGGGAACACGTGATTTTTGTGGCTAGTTATAGATGAGTGTCGTTCGGATGAGATAACCACAGTGGTTTATCCTGGGGGTTTGAGGTCCTGGACCACCATTATCACCCTGCTAGTGATGGTGATGGTTAAAATGTGATTATATTTATAAGACTAAACACGGAGTGATTTCTCCGTCGACTTTGCATAGTCTCCTTCAACCTTGTCCTTCAACGAATAAATGGTTAATGGCTAAAAAAAAAAAGACCCCAACCTATTATTCTTCAAAGAAGTTGTCTTGAATATTTCATACATGTCGCCCAAAAGCTAATGTTTCAAGTGTTTTGTGAAAGTTATTCCTCAAAGTAGCTTAAAATGAGGATTCCTCACCGCGCTCCCCTCAGCAATATTCTGCGCGCGCTCTCAGTGGTGGCGGGAAGCGCGAGCGAGTGGCGCGTCGTCCTTATTCTACCTTGAGAAAAGGATGCAAAAACCCCACGAAACCCGTTTCTAGGTCAACATGGGGTTAGACTCGCTGAAGGCGACCCTCGTTACGATCTTGAACGCGCTCGCCTTGAATCCCCCAGCCTCAGCCACCCACAGCATACAAGATTAACGCGCGTGTTTGGAGCGTGTGAGGAAAATGCTGACGCGTTGACGCTACATTTGATCGGTTCGTCAGCGCGTTTGACGTGTAGACCGCTGAGGGATCTTTATTACTCTTACGGGTTTTTTATGGACTCGAAGAATCGTCGCTAATGTCTTGCTTGTGGAAACGCTTTCTTGGAGAGCGACATATGACTTTGGGATTTTTGTATATTATGAGACATTAATCAAAATGACGTGTAGGTTGCGACAGTAGCCTGCTGAGGGGGTTTTCGTACTCTTAACGACTCTTTTATGGACGCGAACGATTGTCGCAATGTGGAAATAGTTTTCTGGGGAACGCTGTATTTGTGAATGTTCTGAATAGGCGTTTATTTGGACGAAGGTATGTTCTATGTTCTATACTAAAAACTCCTATCATTTCATTTAAAGAACGTTTGTTTGCATTTTCTCTTATTAAACGAGGAAATAAGACTTGCCTCTATAGCAGACAAACTCGACTGATCATCATTATGTGACACTTTCTTGGAAACGTCTTCTTGATTAGAATGAAAGGTATTCGTTTCAGCGTGTTGCAGAATATTCCTGGCTCTTTGCGACTTATTATGAACGATCGTCGCATACGTGGAATTTGGGGATGTTCTGAATAGAATGCGGCGTACTTATTATTATTTATACGCAAAGCTCATACTGCAGAACATTTAGTTCTATTTGATCTCATTAAAGAAGAGAATCTAGCGCGGTGAGACTGAATTTGGGAATAACGTTGTGAAATGGTATGCATAATTCTAAAGCTGCAGTTTTATTTCCAAATCATTTTAACATTTGCAAGTTGCATCTATTAAACCAGGACATTCATGTATGAGGAAACTGATATCCGCATTTGGATCAACTGAACGAGACTTCAGCAAGAGTTTGGCGCAACTACATCCACTGGTGATGCCGGAGGTCACTTCCACCAGAAGCGATAGGCTAACCAAAGGCATTATGTTTTTCTGCAACACCACAGCCATCAAGGACTGGAGCTATTTTCTCTCTCAAATCTTGCCTCTTGTGAATAAATCAGCGGGATTGGTTCACCAGAGTATGGACCGGGTGGAAGCGGTGACGAGCACCATGGTGACGGCTCTGGAGCCCGACCTGAGCGGCATGAGCGCCAGTCACCCGCCGCTCAACTCCAATCACACGTCCGGAATGGAGCACGTCTTTCAATACTCGTACTCCGAGAATGACCTGCAGTACACAGACTACAGGACGCCGCCGAGGGACTCGATACAGCTGCCCAAGGCTGTGCTGTACCTGGTTATGGCCGCGCTGGTGGTGGTGGCCGTGGCGTACGCGATCGTGGGGCACCTGGTGAAGGATCTCGTGCATGAGTTTGTGGGTAAGTGCATTCCGAAAATGTAGTGTATTTGATCAATCAAACAACGCTCTTACTAAACACCGTGCGTGCATTTTAATGTTTTGGCTATAATAGATGCAAATGCATCAGTTTTGTAGGCTATATTGCACTATTGAAAACAGCTCGTTAGGCTGGTTTTCCTAGTCTAAACCAACAAACGTGCTTAAAACCCCTCTAAAACCAGCCATATAGTTTTCTTTTAAGTTTTCATTATTTGTGTGTTTTGACTATGCATTTATAGCTAGCAACGAGGTGAATAAATGCAACTCAGTTTTGTGCATTGCACTGTTGAAGAAAAAACAAGACCAACCTACGGTCTGACCTGGTTTAAGCTGGTTTCCCAGCTGAACCGTGCTTAAAACCCCTCTAAAACCAGCCAACAGATCAACCTGTTCATGCTGGACCATCTAAGGTTGTTCAAAGCTGTTTTTCAGCAGATCGTACATATCTGCAGCTTATTCATCTGCAGTCGATGGTCATTTTTTGGGGAATCGTTTTCTGTAAGATATTTTTGTGTGTTTTGGCTATGCATTTTTAACAGTGAAATGAAAAACATAAATGTAACTCCATCTGCATCAGTTTTGTTCATTGCGCTGTTGAAAAGACCAGTTTATGGGCTGAAGTGATTTAAGATTAAGGTTTCCCAGCTAAAGAGTGCTTAAAAACTTCTGACCATGCTGGACCATCTAAGCTCCAGCATTTTTTCCCGCCCTCAGCAAGTCATACACAGAACACACATTCATTCATTGCAGCCATTAACCAACACTATAACAGTACAATGGTAATTTTAATTCTAAATATGTTTCAGTATTTGTGTGTTTTGGGGATATTGTGTGCTTTTGGATTTTGGTGTGTTTAGGCATTCATATTCATAAGAGGATAAGATGAGTTTGTCTGAAGTGTGCTTTTTGGAGGATTCTCCCAATGTTTGATATGTATGTATATATATATATATATATATATATATATATATATATATATATATATATATATGTGAGTGTAATGGACTCATACTATTCTGTTTTTAGGGCCCTTGATGGAGCACACAACTGTTTGCATCCGTTCTGACATGCAACTCTGAAAAGCACCTCTGTTGACATTCACATAGTACATTCGCATTCACCTCCACATGCATCCCGACCCATTCTCTCTCAAAAGCTCATGTTGAGTATCCGGAAGGGGATGAAAAGAATTACATTTAATTCCTTCAGAGTCCCTCACTTCTGTTTTTCAAAGACCTTGACGTTTACCTGAAGCAATGAAGCAGGCAGGTCACACACACACACACAGCAGAAGCAGAGAGGGGGAATGAGCACTCAACAATACCTGAGAGATTTCTCCAAAAGCCCTGGTTACACCAAGTACTCTTCTGTAGATGTTGCTCTGTGCTTTTGTGTCGGTCCTGAGAGGTGTACATGTGAAGATCATCAGTTTGGTGAGATTCTCACTGTAGTTTTTCTCTCAGGGTCAGACAAGGAGAAAGCTCACTTTTGCTATCGTAGTAAAATACAATTGTGATTCACAAGTCAGACACTCTCTTTAGTTTCCATTTTGTCTGATAAGGAAAATAAGGTTAGGGTTTTCTTCAAAATTGACTTTTGTGCCATTATTTTTCTAAGTGACAGGAGTTGCATTTTTTCTTTGTGGACAATAAAAAATGAAACCACAGAGAATACTCAGAAATCATCTATCAACCACCCAGAACTCCCTAGAAACCTCTTAGCAACCACTCAGAACACCTTAGAATAGTAGCAGTGACTTTTGAATGCACTGAAAAAAGTGAAACTTCTGTGCTTTTTAATATTGGTCTAGTCAAAAATAATGTTTTCCAGTTAAATGTATTTTTTATTTTTATCATTTTATTTATTTATTTATTGCTTTTCCTTTGCATTTGTCTGGAAGGAAATCTATTTTGTTTAAAGGGGTCGTATGGTCATATTTCAATTTTTCCTTTCTCTTTGAAGTGTTACAAGCTCTTGGTGCATAAAGAAGATCTGTAAAGTTACAAAGACTAAAGTCGCAAATCCAAAGAGATATTCTTTATAAAAGTTAAGAGTCAACCACGCCTACCTAAAACAGCTCGTTCTAACACGCCCCCACATGTCTACGTCACGATGTGGGAAGATTTGCATAACGCCGCCCAAATGTTCACGCAAAGAAAGAATGCGTAACTTTTATTCTCGCTGTAGTATTGTTGCTGCCGCCATGTCGAGACGCTGTGTGTTTCGTTGTGAAAGCGAAACTACTTTGTTTGGCCTTCCAAAAGAGGTTGATATCCGCTTTGTCATGCCTAGAGCTGATCCGTGCTGGTCGCTGAGGGAATACATCAACTTCGCGCTGTGGATCGCCGGATCGGCTTTCACCGTGGACGAAGCAGAGTCCAGCCCGGGGTCGTCACATGTGG